TTCAGATCAGTCCCAGGCACGCCCTTCTCATCCTCATTAAGCCTTGGGCTACATCAGTGGTTTAATTTCGTTTGAGGATTTTTTTTGTTTTGTTTTGTTTTGTTTTTTGGTGTGGGTGTGTGTGGTTTCCTAGAAGTATATGACTCAACTCCACTGTTGTCCAATTCATTGGACTTCCCTCCAATTACGTTTGTTTATAAAAATTCACTATCAGTGGCAGGTTAGCCCTCAGCCTGTCAAGCCAGCATCTCAAATGGGTAAACAATTAGAGCTCTGGCTACTACACTTCCAATCCACTTCTCTACTAACATCCTGGGAGTGTAGTGGAGGATGGGTCAAGTCCTTGGGGCCACCCATCCGGGTGAGAGACCTGGAGGAAGTTCCTGACTCCCAGCTTAGGACAGGCCCAGGCCTGGGCTTTACAAGGAGAGTGAACCAGTACATGGAAAATTCTCTGTCTCATCTCTGTGAGTCTACCTTTCAAGTAAAAATAAAGTATGCTTTTTAAATTATTTAATTTGCCTCTGAGAGATAAAAACATTGAAAGGATTCTAAAGGAGTTCAGATACACAACTTCCAAAAACTGAATCCTGATCAACAGTTTTAAAAATAGAGATCCAATTACAATTGCTATGTTGAAGACACAGACACTTATTTGGCTGAATGTTTATGTAAATAAGATTTATTAACATATATGATTGTCTGAATGCTGTAATTCCTTATGTAACCCCCCAACAACCCTGTTCCACATCAATGTTTCTCTCTGTCAAATTTATTTATTTGAAAGGCAAAGTTAGAGAGGGAGAAGGGCAGAGAAAGATCACCCCTCCACCAGTTTGTATCCCCCAAATGGCTGCTATGGCCAGGGCTGAGCCAATCCTATAGCATAAGCCAGGAAATTCATTTGGGTCTCCTACATGAATCCTGGGACCCTAGTACTTGGTTCATCTTCTGCTTTTCCAGGCACATTAGCAGGAACATCCGGGATTCAAACAGGTGCCCATATGTGATGTCAGTATTGTGAGTGGCAACTTAACTCACTCCCCCACAACACTGGCCCCTGGAATTCTTTTGATTTTTCTTCCTTCCTTGTGTTAGGAATATATCAGAGAGCTTTCCAGAGCCCATTTCAGGAGAACCAGCATGCAAAGGAACAGGGTTTCTTCAAGTAGATTGTACAAAAGGGAAAAGACTACTTTTGTGGGCCCTCTCCAAGCATGATTTATTGCATGCCTGCTTTTGCAGCACTAAAAATTATCCGTGTGGTTTCTAGTACTCCATCCTGCCTTACTACATTAGATTTTTTTACTGCTACATCTATGAAAATTATCAAGAACCAATACTGTTGGTTCATGTATGCTAAAACTTCACCTGACAGTGTAGTTATCAATTACAGAAGACTCAGTAATAAAATGTAGCAAATAGAGACCCTACCTGGTACATAATGTCGTGCATTAAAATTTTGCCAGATCTAAAATTGATATTTAAAAGCTAAGAAAAGATTTATGTTGTAAGTTTACTAATAGGTGATGATCTGGTGATTGTATAATAGTATAGACATACTGCTGAAAATGCTTCTTAAAATGATAGCTCTGCAAGTGCCACACTGACTGGCTATGCTACTTCTGGGTACCAGGAAAACTGCCAGTGCAGACAGTCGACAAACACCTACGTTTTTGTTTGTTGGAGTTTTCAAAATGATAGAGAAATATGTGATTGAGTTTTGTTAAAAGGCTGGTAGGGGTTCAGTAGAACTGCTATAGGAATAAAGTGTTTCAGGATGATATGGAGGGGAATATTTAAAGTAGTGTCATAATCTCAGACAATAGCTATAATAGTAATATTAAAAACAATAACCAACATTTATTGAGTACTTTGCTAAGTCTTTATATGTATAATTTCTTTTTTAAGACTAATTTATTTTTACTTTAATGTTAGAGTTACAGTGAGAGGGAAGACAGAAACAGAGCTCCTCCATCCACTGATTCACTCCCCAAATGGCTGCAACAGCCAGGGTTGAGCTGGTCCAAAGCCATGACCCAGATCTTCTGGGTCTGCCATGTGGTCCAAGTGACACCCATTCAAGAGGTCCAAGTCCTTGGGCCATCCTCCTCTGCTTTCCCAGGCTATTAGCAAGGAACTGGATCAGAAATGGAACAGCTGGGACTTGAACAACTGTGTGGGATGCTGATGCCATACAGAGGATTAGCATGCTCTGGCACCACACCAGCTGCTATGTGTGTAATTTCTTGAGCTTGACCCTCACAAGATGAATACTATTATCGCCATTTCAATAACCAAAGCAAGGCTTAGAAAATTATTTACCCCAAGTCATATTTCCAAGTTTACTAAAAGGCAGTAGATCAAAATTTAAACTTTATATTTATTTGTGTATATACATTCTTTTTAAAGATTTATTTAGTTTAGTTTAAAAGAGTTACCGAGAGGGAGAGACAGAGAGAGATCTTCCATCTGCCGATTCATCCCCCAAATGCCCACCACAGCTAGGGCTGGGTCAGATCAAAGCCAGCATCCGGGAGCTTCTTTCTGGCCTCCCATGTGGGTGCAGGGTCCCAAAGACTTGGGCCATCCTGTGCTGCTTTCCCAGGTCATAAACAGGGAACTGGATTGGGCAGTATTGCAGCCAAGGCATAAACCAGTGCCCATATAGTATTCTGGTACAGACAGACAGAGGATTAGCCTGTTATACCACCATGCTGGCATGTGTATACATTTTTATATTTGATTGTGGGCCTCAAATGTTTAGATTATGTTTTGAATATACCTTTTATTTTCAGCAAAACTGTATATAAAGATTAGAATTTAAGCAGAGTTAGGAGCAAACATCTTAAAGCTCAAGATGATTACTTCATCGAAAAACCAAAAAAAAAGTATTTTACTGTGCTTTAAAACTCTGAGTTCTCAGGGATAGGCAGTGTGGTACAGTAAGTTAGCCACCACTTGGTACATCTGCAACCCATTCAGAGTGTATGCGCTAAGTCCTAATTGCTCCACTTCCCATCTGTTCTTGTGTGTCCTGGGAGCAGATGACGCTCTTGAGTCCGTACCACTGGTGAGGGAGACGTGGAAGAAGCCCCAGGCTTCCAGCTTCATCTGACCCTGTGCCATCTTACAAGCATTTGTTTTAGAGGGTCTCTCTCTCTCTCTCTGTCTCTTTCTTTCTGCCTTTCAAATATATAAAGAAAGCTTTTTTTCAAAAAAAAAAAAAAAAACTTTGTGTATTTGAAAGGTAGAGAGATTCTCTAAAATAAATGCTTACAATTATAAAGTTCTCATTGAAGTATTGGCATTTTTTTTCATTAACATAGTAAAACATAAGCCAAGTCTCATGAAATTTTGTGGCTTAATTACAGACCAGAAAGGTATAACAGACAGATAAAGTTACCGCCTGCATAATGGCATCCCACATGGGCACCCATTCAAGTCTCAGCTGCTCCACTTCCAATCCAGCTCCCTGCTATTGCACCTGTGGAAGCAGTGGAAAGTGGCCCAAGTGCTTGGACCCTTGTCCCCATGTGGGAGATATTGGACAAAGCTCCTGGCTCCTGGCTTCTGTCTGGCCCAGCCCTCGTCATGGCAGGCATCTGGGGAAGTAAGCCAGTACATAGAAGCTCTCTCTCCCTCTCCCTTCCTGCTTTTCCCTCTCCCTGTCCTTCTACCTTTCCCTCCTCCCACCTTTCTCTCTAACGCTGCCTTTCAAATAAAGATTTTTTTTTAAATAAAAAGTGTGTGCAGTTAAGTTCTTAAAACACCAGGAAAGAATTTTCCAATGACAACTTAGTAACCTAGTATCATTTAAAGAAACTGTTATTTAGTACTTTCAACTACTTCCAAAAGTTTAAAGAGCATTGGAAATGAGGAAGTCTTTTGAATATAACAGTTTGGGCAGCAGGACCTGTGAGAAAAGCTTTACTAGATTTGAAGGATTTAGGAATCACAGATAAAATATTATACCAGTTGTAATAGGCATCTATATACCCTTTTTTTAAAACATTATTTCTTTTTACTTTATCTAAAAGGTAGAGAAACAGGGAGAGTCAAAGAAAGAAATGCCTTCCATCTGCTGGTTTACCACCCCAGAGCCTACAGTATCCAGGGATGTACTAGGCCAAAGCCAGCCCAGTTCTCCCACCTGGGTGGCAGGGACTCACATATTGAGTCATCACCTGCTACTCTCTGGAGTGTTTGTTAGCAAGAAACTGGATTGCAAGTGGAGGAGCTGGGACTCAAACCAGTCCAAAGCAGCAACTTCAACTGCTTCATCAAACACCAACCTCTAGACACTGTTTTCACAGATAAAATATCTTCAGGTAACTAAAGGAGGTAGCTCTTGACCTATGATGATTTTGCTGTGCAGGAGGCATTTTGGCAATGTCTGACATGCTTGATTGTCCCAACTGGGAAAGAGTATGCTGCTGACATTTAGTAGGGAGAAGCCAGGGATGCTGCAAAATGTCCCACAGTGCACAACAGCTTCCCCCAACACACAGACATCCCAAAGTTATGTAGCCCAAAATGTCCAAAGTTACGAGGCTGAGAAACCTCAGCCTGGGCCACCAGCTGCTGCCACATCTCATCTACTTGTGAGTGGAGATTAAGAGTACTGAATAGTCTACTCTCATAGTGATAATAAAAGGCTTCAGGAGGGTCTTGAAGAAGAATGTCTTGAGCATACCGCTCACTTAGGGAGGAAGCCAGTATGCAATGAAAGCTGTGAAGGATAAAAAGTCAGAGAGGGCAACTGAAGAGCCTGGAGCTTGGTGTCATCACCTGTAAAATGCTGGCAGCAGTGTGCATTTTCTGACATCAGAGTAAAGAATATGAAAACCCATATTCCTGATATCAATAATTCCCAGAGTAAATCTGTTTCTAAAATTAGAGTTTGACTAAAATTCTTGCCCTGTAAAACAAATAATGTGTAGGGGACATGACAGCCAGCTCATCTAGGCCAGCAGAGGACATGGACTGCCTTGTCAGAAGATGGGATGCAAAACAGGCTGGACAACTCTCCTGGCCAACCTTTGCACCGAGTGTCTGGATCTGTGAACATACTAAGCCAAAGACCTTGAAAAATTTTCTCATCCCTGGTACAAAGCAAACTGTGTCTCAGAACTATCATAACCACTCAAGTAACACCCTCAGAACATTCTTCCTCATATCAGGGTCTCTAAGGTGTCATCAGTGTCTTTCCACCATCCCTGGGTGCTGAGATAGTCTAACAGAAAGAATTGCTCCATCATCAGACACAGGAGAGAAAAGGAAAAGAAGCTGAACTATTTGTCCCACCCACCTTGTTCCATACCTTGACTTTCTCCACCCTAATCGGAGGACCACGGCCATACATCCCTCTCAGCTATATAAACAATACTAAAAATGAAATATAAATTTAAAAATAAGAAGTAATGGTCCTGTGAAGTTATTAAGTTGCTGTCTAGTCTCTGTGCCATATAAACCCCAGAATTAATCTCATACAGTCAGTGTGAGGTGTGGGGACTTCCTAGATGCAATTCCAAGCCATTTCTCCCACTCTGTTGGACAGATTCCTAAATGTCTCAGCTTTTTTTTTTTTTTTTTGCATTTATAAAATTGGGATAACAAAGATATTCCCTGTGTAAAAGCAGTAGCTGGCACTTGGTATATATTCAGAAAATGTTAGCTGTTAAACAAGAATTCTGAACAGTAATGTTGTGTAATAATGGCTCTGCTTACAGAAGTTAAAGAGCTATTTGAGATATTCTGTCAAATAGCACTTTTTTTTTTAATCGTTGGGCATTTGATTACATAGCCTTTGGCTCCTACAGTGAAGAGATATGGTTATATTTTATGTTGCCTAAATAGTTACTTGATGTAATTTAGAAAAGTTCATACCCAGTTTTCTTTTGAATATAAATATATGGCTGTAATTGTCATCATAAGTATGTAATAGTAAAGTACATGAGTGAACTTGTACCTAATAAACAACAAGAGGTCACCAAAAAGTTCATGGGAACTGTATATTGTACACGGATTTTTAGATTTCACACCAATATAAATTTATATTTTAATTCCAGTTTCTATGAGTATTTTGAAATGCTTTCATGTATCTGTATCACAGCAAACAGGCCATGGCTATGGCAAGAAAATAATTAACATCACATTTAGCCTTCTCTTTAATAGCAGATTTTAAATTTCCGATATTGATGTCATCTGCTGTTAAGTCTCAGAGGGTATTTTTTTGTGTGTGTTTTCTTTACAGATCAACAGAAACATGTAAAAAAGAAGATGATCTTGACAGTCTTATTAAGGAAATATTTGAAGAGCCCGACTTTGACAAGAAACCATTTGTAAGTCAAGTGTTAGAGATGTGCATCACTGTTTCATTTCAAGAGATGTTTAAAATCGTCTTAAAAGAATATGCAGCAGCTCTCCATAGAACTTTGAATTATAAGAAATGCAGTAAGTGACCGAATTATCCCATGTAAAGAGTTCAGAAAAAATAAATATTAGAATTTCTCAACACGTTTCTCTCTTGATTTCTCAACAAGAACAAGGAAATGCATCAGAATGCATTTTCTGACATCAGAGTAAAGAATATGAAAACCCATATCCCTGATATCAATAATTCCCAGAGTAAGTCTGTTTCTAAAATTAGAGTTTGACTAAAATTACTGTAAAAGTCAACTCACAGATCAAGCTGGTTGCTTGTATTTGTACTAAGAACACTTTTCTAAAAGATCAGAAGCATTGAGTGTGGCATATCAGATACAAACACATTGTGCCATTAAGCAGTGACTAGCTTGTTAATGCTTTGATTTTTAAAAAACCTTTAAAAATATCTTAAACATTTATATCTCCCTTAACTTAATAAAACGTTCATAAAATAGGGCCTGGTGCAGTGGCCTAGCGCCCAGAGACCTTGCCCTAAATACTCCGGGATCCCATATGGGCGCCAGTTCTAATCTCAGCAGCTCCACTTCCCATCCAGTTCCCTGCTTGTGGCCTGGGAGAGCAGTTGAGGATGGCCCAAGGCCTTGGGACCTGTACCCGTGTGGGAGACCTGGAGGAGGTTCCTGGCTCCTGGCTTCGGATTGGCACAACACCGGCCGTTGCAGTCACTTGGGAAGTGAATCATTGGACGGAAGATCTTCTGTGTCTCTCCTCCTCTATGTATATCTGACTTTCCAGTGAAAATAAAGAAATCTTTTTTTTAAAAAGTTCATAAAATAATACAGCAGTCGCCAAACATCTTGATGTTTTATAATTACTTCTCTGAGCTTTTCTTTTTAAGATTTGTTTATTCATTTACTTGAAAGGCAGAGTTATAGAAAGAAGGAGAGACAGAGAAAGAAAGAGATCTTCATCTTCTGATTCATCCCCCAAATGGCCATAGCAGCCAGAGCTGAGCCAATCCAAAGCCAGTAGTCAGAAGCTTCATCCAGGTCTCCATGTAGGTGCATCAGCCCAAGCACCTGAACCATCCTCTTCTGCTTTCCCAGGCCACAAGCAGAGAGCTTAATTGGAAGTGGAGCAGCTGGGACTTGAACTGGTACCCATATGGGATACTGGCACTACAGGTTTAGCCTGCTATTCTGTGGCACCAGCCCCTCATAAATACTTTTTGATAAATTTATACTTAGTATTTTTCTTTTTTTTTTTCCTTAAAGATTTGTTTATTTATTTGAAAAGCAGAATGACACACACAGAAACAGAAAAATATTCCTTCAGTCCCAAATGCCCCCACTCTAAGTGCTGGGCCAGGCTGAAGCCAGGAGCCAGGAACTCTATGCAGGTCTCCTATCTGGGTGCTGGGAACCTAAGTACTTTGGTCATTATTGGTGACTGCCAGAGCACTAACAGGAAGCTGGATTGGAAGATGAGGCAGGACTGATTCCAGACATTCCAATATGGGATATGGCTTAACCCACCATACCACAATACTTACCTCTGTGTATTTCTTTGAAAACTAACAAACACGTTCCACAATCACCAAACTGGTAAGACTTAAAGTATATAAATTTTCACATGCCACTGGTGAAGCCAGGAGCCCGGAGCTTTTCTGGATCTCCCATTTGCTTGTAGGGGCCCAAGTGTTTGGGCCATCTTCCACTGCTTTCTCAGGCTTATTTACAGGGAATTGCATTGGAAGTGGAACAGATCAGTGTTGAATCAGCACCCATATGGGATGCCAGTATTGCAGTCAGCAGCTTTACTTACAACATCAGCGCTTATAGTTAAAATTGCATATTGTTGTACATACATGTATATATGAGTATGTTTAGTTGTATATATTTAGCTTTTTAGTGATTTTACTATATCCCATTTTTCAGCTTTTGGGGGAAAGAGCAGGACTGTGTAAAATGTGTGTTGGGTGAGAAGCAACAATTCATGGACAGTCCATGCCACATTTGTCGATAGAAGCCATATCATGCTCTGACAGTAACCACTATTCCACCTCATCCCTCAACTCACCCATTAGACTGCATTTCTGATTTCCTAGACCTACACAGGAAGACCAGGAACCAATAACAGATATCGCAGTAGGCCCACTTAGAGTCATGAGCCTGGATGGTACAGAAAACATATGCCCCAAAACAAAAAGAAACTCACATTATTATTTTTCAGGCATGCACCAGAAACTTTTGCAGCTCTGTTTAACATCAAATAAAGGAGTTAAGAAGAAGTAAAATGACATATTTTTGCCTCCATTAAATTTCTTCACCGACTAGGCAAAACAAAGACATTCTTGCTATGTCTCACTTCCTCCCCTTGGCGGTGGTCCTAGGATGTGGTTGGGTTATGTTATTTGGTACTAAATTCTGGTTAACACCTAATAAATGCTCATTAATGATGATGATGTTATGTAACCATATAGGAACTACTGTATGGTTATGATTAGCTACCATTCCATAAAATCAGAATTAATATTTCTGAAGTTAGACAGGAGTTAGATTCATTTATTTTTTGCTCAGATGAGTACTGTTCACAGTCTTTTTAAAAAGTGAGTCTGAGTGGTTTTTTTTTTCCTTCCTTAATTGAATTTTTCCAGAATGAAGCTTTAAATAGCAGGTCTTTCATATTAAGTCACTGAACCCTGGTATTAACTGCAGAATTATAAAGAGACTCTAAATCATAACATGCTAATAACAGCAGTATATCAATTTCCAAGACTAAATATTAGCAGAGTAACTGGCAAATTCCTGCAGTTCTACTTCCTTTTTGCCTTTAAATGGCTTGATACTGATACCGCTAAAACTAATTAATTTTAAAACATTTTTATTGTAAAATAAAGAATATTAGCTTTCATGTTACCATTCTCTAAGTTGCCTTTTGCTGTTTTGTTTTAACAGAAAGTCAAACCTACATCTTCAGGGAAAATATCCATCAGAGCGTCCATCCAAGGCCTGGGGAAAAGGTAAACTATACATACTAGTGAGCAGATACTGCAAGCCTACTCTAGTAAATGTTGTTATCATTCAGACAAATGTGACATTTAACTACCTTGACCTTCAGAAGAGAAACCAATAGCAATGTCTTCTTGTGGTCTGTGACCCCTTAGCATAAAGGAAACTAAGCTGGAGATTATTGCTATTATAAATAATTTTCTGCCATTTTGAAAGAATGTGTGAACAGTTACTCAGAATTAATGTTCTGCTATTTTCTTGAGCATTTACTTTGTCCCTTATATAGTTAGCGAGCACATTTTGCTGTGGTTCATTTTAATTCCTTGAGTGTTCCTGAATGTGTGGGTTAGAGGGAGAAAAGCAGTTTCTCCTGCTTTTCTTGATCCTGGAATAAATGCTTCTGTGAAAGAGTTAGCTTGCTAAGGAAAATATACAGTTCAGTCACAAGAACCTAGAGTCAGTGAAGACAACACATTTCTCATGTTTCTTATTTGTTGATATTTCGTTTTCCTCCATCTGTTGAATGCATTTAGTTGCAGTCCGGTATACCTTGGTGGAAGCAGCATTCCTTTTGGGATTGGAACATACACTTCACAGAGGTACAGTGTTAAAAATTGACTTTCTTACTAGGATTTTACAAATCGATGCCCATTTGTTAAAATATGGTTCATATCAGCTTACATTAAATTTTTTATAATGATGGGCCAGTGCAGTTGCTCAATTGGCTAATGACTTCTACCTGCAAGCACCAGCATTTCATATGGGTATCAGTTCATGTCTCAGCCACTCCACTTCCAATCCAGCTCCCTACATATGGCCTGTAAAGGCAGTGAAGGATGGCCTAAATCCTTGAGACCCTGCACCTACAAGGGAGACCCAGACGAAACTCCTGGTTCCCGGTCAACCCAGCTTCAGCCACTGCAGCCATTTGGGGAGTGAACCAATGGAAGGAAGATCTTTCTTTATCTCCTTCTCCCTGTAAATCTGTTTCTCTAGTATGTTTTATAATGAGAGGTATATTTTATTAACCAATCTAGTCGCATTTAGTTGACATGTGGATATGTATTCTTAATATATACCCACTTAAAAAATGGTATTTATTTGAAAGGTCCAATTAAAGAGAGGGAGAGCCAAAAATGAAGAAAGAGACAAAGAGAGAGAGATCTTCCATTTGCTTATTCACTCTGAAAATGGCTAGAACCACCAGGGGCCCAAGCACTTGAGGCCCTCCTCTGCTATTCTCCTAGGTGCATTAACTGGGAACTGGATCAGAAGTGAGTAGCCGGGACCTGAACTGGTATACATATGTGATGCTGGTACTGCGTGCAGCAACTTAACTCACCAAGCCACAGCACCATACTCTATATATACCCCTTTTTAAGCCCCACCTTGAGTGCCTGATCACTCCTGCCATGGTTTCGTATCCATAGGACACCAGGAGACTGAATTTTCCTCCAAACCATGGGAGCCAGTGGCAAAAGCAGATGAGGCAGTGTGTCCATGCCGCTGCTTGATCCTGTAGCCACACTGGTTTGATCAGTTAGCAGGAGACACTGAGTCCACTAGTCCAAGTTCTCCAGGACAGAGGCTTGATCTGACCTATTTACATATTTTAAAAGCAGAAACCTACTGTTCTTTGTCTCTTCTCTGCCTGTCCTACACACACTTCTCACTCAGCATTTCTTTGCAAGTAGTCCTATAATCATGATGTCACCTACCCCAAACCTGTATAGCTCCTACCACATTCCACTCCCCCTTTCATAATATGGGGAAACAGATTGGTCTTAAGCAAATGTTTATACATTCCTGCTATTTTGGAAAAGTAATAGCATTTTTAGCAAAGGCCTGCCTACCTAATTATTTTGTTTCTGTTTTCTTTTTGTCTTGTTATTTCCCAAACACCTTTTTAATTTTGTTATTTTTTTTTATAAACAAGTTATATGATTACATCCTGATTGTGTTTCTGGAGTAATAACAGTTATGTTAAGTAATGGAAGTGATATCTAGGAAGCTACTGTTGGAAGGGCATGGCAGTGCTCACATAGATCCAAAGAACATCAGGATGGAAGGATTGAGTGTGCAGGGAAGCCTTGCACAGGCAGAAGACAGGCTCGGAAGAATCCAGTGGGGGTGGGGAAGAGGGTGCTTCCAGCTGCAAGCACCAGAAATGCATCATAGCATACTGGAAACTTATCAGTTTATATCAGAAGAGACTATAATCTCGCTGCTGTCAATCCTATTACCTGTGCCTACTCAGTTGGACTCCTCTCAATCTTACCTAGTCCTTGTCACTTCTGATCCAAGTCACCCTTGGAATACAATAAGAATTTCCCACCCATCATCCACTTCCATCTTCTTTGGGCTCACCCCCATACATCATTCATGATAATACTCCTGTTTGAGTGCTTCCCCATGCTGAGAAGAAGCACAAATTACATTTGTCTCATAGCAATTCAAAATTCACTATTTGCCTTACAAAACTGTTGTTCTTTTATTTGTTTATTTGAAAAGGAGAGTTACAGAGAAGGAGGGATAGAGAGAGAGAGAGATCTTGTATCTACTGGTTTACTCCCTAAATGGCTGCATGGGCTAGCACTGGGCCAGACTGAAGCCAGGAGCCAGAAGCTTCGTCCTGGTCTCCAATGTGGGGCTCAAAGGGCTCAAGCAGTTGGGCCATCTTCAGCTGATTCTCCAGGCACATTAGCAGAGAGAACAGTGAGGACTTGAACTGGTGCCTATATGGATAGCCAGCACTGCAGGCAGCAGTCTTACCCATACGCCACAGCACCAGCCGCCAAATTGTTGTTCTTGGTCTTCCTGTTTTCTCTGTAGATCCTTCACCTCTAATTACAGCTGACTGAGGTACTCTACTTCATCTGACCCTTTGCTGGCATTCTTGACTTTCACCTGTATTTTTCTGCCTCTGAGGATTTTTTGTTTCTATCTAGAATGTTACTCCTTCCAATGCATAGCCCCTGCTATCTTCTTCACTCACATATTACAGATTTGATTTCTCATTATCTTTGAACTTTCATCTTGTCCACATTCATCAAATTCCTCACTATATCCTAAACACCACCAGTAGAAGAACACCTAAAGAGGCAAGTGGTAGCACCATGGCATGGAAAGGGAAGGCTCCAGTGACAGGTGTCTGAGTAAAATCCATGCCGGGCCTGTCAGGAGCTGTGAAGCTTTGGGAAAGGGATCTGATCTAAAGCCTCAGCTTCTTCACTAACACACACTAGGCAAACTTTGTGGCGACCCTGTGAGGATTAAATGGAATCATAAATGAAAGCTGTACCTGTAGTACAAAAGGTAGCTAGCTACTGGAGATGCACGCTGCAATTTTTTATCCCTTTCTCATCTAGTAATCCTGCTTTCTTGCTGATATATCAGGGGCAAGAATGCTGTATTTTATTACCACTATTCTTTTTATCTCAGGAAATACAGATCAGTGTTTACATATAGATACTTCTTGATTTTAAAACTAGTCATTAGGGGGGAAAATGCATTCCAGTTTACTTCTAAAGAGTAAATATTTAATTAAGATTTTCTTGGATATAATTTATTTTTGTGTATGCTTTGAGTTAGTACACCAAAAAAAGAATCTTGTTCCAGATATAATTTCAATTTTAAAAACACAGCCTATTTTTGTAGCTTGAGAGTCCTATCAAAGTGTTGATTCACCAGGACACCAAAATCTAACAAACTCCAATACTTCTAACTTTCCGCACCAGAAGGATGGTGTGCATATAGTTGTACATGCCCGGGTAAACATCCATACTTAAAAGCCTTTCCCATCACAGAGCTGTGTTGAGGGACAGTCATTAACTGTCATCAGCTGTCCCTTAGTGATACAGAAACTACCCATAGAAAGAAACAAATATGTTTATGTACATATAGAATATTTTATATGTGAAAGTACTACTGTATGCATTCTATCCATACCCTTTTTTTTTTTTGAAAGCCAGAGAGAGGGGCCTACATGGTGGCATAGCACCTAATCCTCTGCCTGCAAGTGCCAGCATCCCACATGGGTGCCACTGTTTCATGTGCTGGCTGTTCCACTTACAATCTAGCTTTCTGGTCCCAGTGAAATGGCTCAATGGCTAAATTCTCACCTCACAGGTGCCAGGATCCCATTTGAGTGCTGGTTCATGTCTCAACTGCTCCAATTCCCATCCAGCTTCCTGTTTATGGCCTGGGAAAGTAGTAGAGGGTGGCCCAAAGCCTTAGAACCCTACACCTGCATGCAAGATTCAGAGGAAACTCAGCTCCAGCTATTGCTGCCACCTGGAGAGTAAACCAGCAGATGAAAGATCTTTTTGTCTCTCCTTCTCTCTGTAAATATGATCTGCCTTTCCAATAGAAAAAAAAGGGATTTTTTTGAAAAGAAAAATCTAGCTCTCGACTTGTGGCCTGGGAAAACAGAAGGTGGCCCTAGGCCTTAGACCGCTGTGCTCACATAAGAGTCCTGGAAGATCCTGGCTCCCAGCTTCCAATCATCTCAGCCTGGCCAGTGCAACCAGTTGGGAAATGAACCAGTGGATGGAAGACTTCTCCCTCTGTCTCTCCTTATGCCTTTAAATAAAAAATAAATAATTAAATCTTCAGGGCAAAAAAAAGAAGAAATGAAGGAAAAGCAAAAAGCAGAGAGACAATCCAGTTGCTGGTCCATATCCGAAATACCTTGATACCTTGATAGCCAGAGTGGGCCGGGACAGGCCAGGCCAGGAGCCAGGAATTCAGTCCATGTCTTACACATGGGTGCTGGGGACTCAACCACCCTAATCATCACCTGCTTCTTCTGAAGATGCTTGTCAGCAGGAGGCTGAACTTGGGAATAGAACCCAACCACTCCAATTTGGGATGATGTCCCAGGTGTGCTTAACTGCTGTACCAAACATCTACTCCTTTTTTTTTTCTTCTTCTTCAATATATAGACAGAAAGTAGACAACTTTCGTCTGCTGGGTTACTCCCCAAATATCCACAATGGCCAGAGCTAGGTTGAAGCTGAAGCTGGAAGCAGGAATGCGGTGCAGGTGTATGACATAGGTGGCAGAAACTTCATTACGTGTCACTGCCTTCCAGGATCTTCACTTGCAGAAAGCTGAAAAACCAAAGCAACATCAGACCAAGGGAATCCACTGTAAGACACAAACATTTGTTTTATCTTTCTGGATAAAACTCTTGAAGTTTATTAAGTCAAATGTAGAGCCGGAGGAGACACATTAGCCTAAGTTTCTCATCTGAAAGGAATAAATGACTGTTTTTAATTTTTGAAATTGATACAAAGTTTTCAGTTTGCCTTTAAATATAAGAGTCACCACTAGTAATAAAGCAGAACATAAAACAAGTAGAATAAATGTCAAATATTTTAAGAGCCTTTCAGACTATTTCAGAACAATAAAATCAATGCTAATGTGCTTCCAACTTATCACAGGTTAAAAGAGAAGCAAGTTTATACGTAATAATTCAATGAAAAGTATGCATACAATATCTATAATAGCATTAATTCATCATTATGAACATTAATATTAAGATTAGGCTGATTGTAATAGCATTGTTACCATTATTAATACATTACTTCCTATTTGC